TTCAATAAAAAAAATAATAATAGTGATCAAGTAACAATAACAGTATTGAAAGAAAACAAGATCGAAGAGAAATAACGAGATCCGATGAAAATAAATTGCAGTTGATAATCAACAGTTGTGTATTTACTGTACAAATTAACTAGAAAGATAACAGTTAATGTTAAATAATGGGTGGGAGTAGAGAAACTTGATTATAGTCCTACTACACTAAAACAGGATGGATAGACGTTGACTCACAAAGGAAATTCCGATGGATTGAATAACGCAAAAAAAACTAAATTCCATAGTTAGTTTGTTCAAATGCAAATACATGAGTGGTGTAAATATAACTACCGGATTAATAGACTATATCATTAACAGTATTGTAGTGAAGAAGAACACGGGTGAGGACAGCCAAATTGTATTTAGGACAAATTACAGAATTACTTGGTAAAATAGAAAAACCATATAGTAAATCGTTAATTTGCAAAATATCATTCTATCATATCAAACCGGGCTGTTGCTGTTGCAAACATCAATCCATTGTCTCGCATTTCATTGCTCATGCGATTTCTTACAAATTCCATTGTTTTCTCGCTCTTCTTTTCTTGATCTTCTCCATCTTCTGCTGCCAGACATTACATTCTTTTAACTCACGTTATATACTACTTATATCAATATAAGTAGCACGCACCACACTCGTCCCCCCTTTTAACAAGTTGCTGTCGTAGTCTTTCTGATCTCCGTACCGCTGTGTTCTTTGGTGCTTTTCGTGATTCACACCCATGATGATCTTGAAACCATCTCTGTAGTTGACTAGCATTTACGCGCTTCTGCTTGTCTTCTCTCCGGATCGTGTAGACCGAGCCGCGTCTCTCCGTGATTACATACGGTCCTTCCCATTTTGGGGCCAGCTTCCCCGACCCTGCTCCCCCTGCTATGTTACTTTTTCGTTCTCTACACTTTACTAGGTCCCCCACTGCAAAGGGTTTCCACGTTATCCTCTGTTGTTCTGCCTTCTTTGTGTCTGATATTTGTTTCTTTTCCACGTTCCTTATTGCCTCTCTCCTCTCTTTTCTTAACCTTGTTGTCGTCCACTTCTGTTGTTGTGGCCAGGTCTTATTATGCATTGGAAGTCGTGGTTGTCTGCCATACATGAGCAAGAAAGGTGACTTCTTGGTTGTTCCTTGTGTTGAGGAACGATGTGCCAGCAAAATCAATGGTAACTCTTTCTCCCAATTTCCTCCTTTTGATGCTAACCATTCCTTTAACGTCCGATTGTTTCTCTCTGTAAGCCCGTTTGAATGAGGATGATATGGTGTAGTTCGTATTCTCTTGATGCCAAACTGATTTAAACGGGCTTTAAACACGTCACTTTCAAAACAGGGACCCTGGTCAGTTAATACCATCTTCGGTATTCCGTGACACGCTACAATATGCCGGATTACCACCTCGGTCACTGTCCTTGCCCGTTGGTCTGCAATGGGTACGGCATCTACCCAACGTGTGGCATGTTCCGTCATCACTAACAGGTACTGGTTACCGCTCGCCGTCTGTGGAAACGGTCCCATCACATCCACCGACCATAGATCACCGACTGCGGTTACTGGGATTGACTGTAATGGCGGTTGTGTGTATCGATCGCTTTTCATTAGCTGACACTGCTGGCAGGTTAACACGTATTCAGCCACATCTTCTCTCATGCTCGGCCAGTATGCACTCTGTCGTAGTAAGTCCGTCGTTCTTGCGATGCCTGTATGTGCTACCTGGTGACACTCGTGTATCACTTTACGCCGCCAGTCTTTCGGGATCACCGCCACCCAATTCTCATCATCGTCCTGCCAGGTCAGCACTCCATATGAGTTCACTCTCAGTCGTCCTTTTGCCGAAGCAGCGTTATTACCTCCTTGTCCATTGTTCGTTTATCTACGTCTGCTCCCTCTTTTATCACTCTGATTACCTCTCGAAGGTTAGGGTCAGCTTTCTGCTGCCGGACGAGTTCTAATGGGTCTCCCTCTAAACTATTCACCGCGTATGCTGTTAATGGCAGGTCGGCTTCCATATCTGGTCTTGACAAGTAATCTGCCATTACGTTTTCTTTTCCTGGAACATGGCCGATACTGAAATCGTATTCTTGCAGGCGTATCATCCATCGCGCCAACTTCCCTCGGGGGTCTCTTGCTGTTTTCAACCACTGCAGGGGTTTATGGTCGGTCTCAATGTGAAATCGTCTACCTAAAAGGTATGGTCTCCATTTTTCCACTGCCCACACGATCGCTAAACACTCCTTTTCGATGGTTGAATACTTCTGTTCAGCAGGTGTGAGGACGCGACTCGCGTATTCCACCACTCTATCAGCCTGACTCAACCCAGCACCTATATCATGATCACTCGCGTCTGTGGCCACTGTAAACAGTCTTCCCGGTTCAGGCAGTCTAAGCGTCATCTGGCGATCGTCTAGCATGTTTTTGATTCGGTTGAACGTTTGTTCGGCAGTCTCAGTCCACGTAAACTTGGTGCTGCTCAATAACTTATATAAGGGTGCTGCTATTTCGTTGAAATTTTGACAAACCGACTGTAGAACGCCGCTCTTCCCAGGAACTGTCTCAACTTCCTTTTCGAATTAGGTACTGCAATATTTTTTATGGTAAGAATTTTCTCCGGCAATGGTTTTATTTCTCCATTTCCCACTTTATGTCCCAACAATGTGACGCTACTTTTCGCTATCTGCGACTTGTCCTTATTAATCCGAAGTCCAAATTCGTCAATTCGCTTTAAGACCGCTTCCACATGCTTGATGTGATCTCTTTCTGTTTGACTGTACACAACTACGTCGTCGTCATATACCTCGACATTATCTAGATTCTTGAGCAGTAGTGTCATTAATCTTCTGAACGTGAACGGTGCACCCGCCAACCCGAACGGCATTCGTTTAAATTGATACTGTTTATCACGTACAGTAAACGCTGTCTTGCTCCGATCACTCTCTTTTATAGGCAGTTGCCAATAACCTGACCGTAAATCCAGCACTGTAAACACCGTGGCATTCTGTAGCCGATCTAATGTTTCCACCACTGTTGGCATTGCACAAGGCTTCAGGTCTGTTATATTATTCAATTCTCTGAAGTCGACACAAAATCTATACTTTCCATTTGGTTTCTTTACCAAGAGTACCGGCGAGCTATATGGGCTGTCCGCTTCCTCAATTATACCTTCTTTTAACATTTCCTGAACCTGACGATTTACCTCGGCCTCTAAATGCACCGGGACACGACGTGTTGCAAATATATTTACTCGACTGTTCTTTATCGGTATTTCGTGCTTTACTCTGTCACAAAATCCATACGGCTCCCCATCTCCAGTGAATAGTTTCGCATACTTTTTGCATAACTCGTGAATGTTTGGTTTCTTTGACGAGACATCCGCTGCAACTCTTATTTCAGCCACTTCGCTACTTTCGTGTATTGTCAATGAACCATATTTCGTGACCACCTTACCGCTTCTTAAGTCAACTATCGCTTTTACTTCTCTTAGGAAATCTGCTCCTAATATCGGTCTCGATAAGCTTGTGGTTACGACGAACGGAAAATTTATCTCCGCATCCCCCACTTTTACGATACTGTTAGATACGCCAAACACCTCTAACATATGGCCCCCTATCGTGTGGACAGCTAATGTACACGGCTTGATTCGCTTACATTGCTCTTTGCCTATTAACGATACTGCTGCACCTGTATCGATCAGACAAACTAAATCTCGCTCATTTATGTTCACTCTCGCATATACTGCCCCTCTGTCTACTAACGCAACAATCCCCAGATTCCTAGGATAGAAAGAACACTCGTTGTAACGTCTAACATATCTGCGTCTTCGTCTTGTTGGACAGTTTATCTTCCAATGTCCTGTCCCTCCACAAGCGTAACATTTATCGTTCCGTTTATTGTTCACTCGTATTGCTGCAATCTTGCGCTCCAGCTCCTCAATCTTCTTCTCGATATTACTCATCTCCTGCTTTCCGCACCCGACCGGAGCTACTGTTCGCGTCATCAGCTGACGAGTCACCTTCGCCAGTTCACTGATATCCATCGGTTGCGCTGCGTTCACCAGTTTCAGCTGTTGGGAGACGGTGGCAGGCACACTCTCGATAAACTGTGACGCCAACAACTGTGCCTCCGACTCCTCATCCAGACTCGGCAGCGCACGGCGTAACAATCTGGTAAGCTCCACAGCCAGCACCAGTGGGTCCCCATCGACCGGCAACCTCGCCAACCGGAACTTCTGCAGCGCGTCCTCTCTGTCCACTGGGCTGTCAAACTCCGCCGCCAACCGCTCCGTGACTGCCTCCCATGTGGTCTTCCCGCCAGCACCGTCCAGGCTATCATACACCGCCTTCGCCCTGCCTCTCAGCAGCGTCCCCAGCACCACCAACTTCGCCTTCGGCTCCTTCACTCCCACCAGCTCCGCCACGGCCTCAAACTCCTTCAGGAAGCTCAGCACATCTCCGTCCTCAAACTCCTTCGGCCATGGGATCTTCATCCTCAGTGGAGGCAGCGACACCAAATGTAGTGAGGAAGAACACGGGTGAGGACAGCCAAATTGTATTTAGGACAAATTACAGAATTACTTGGTAAAATAGAAAAACCATATAGTAAATCGTTAATTTGCAAAATATCATTCTATCATATCAAACCGGGCTGTTGCTGTTGCAAACATCAATCCATTGTCTCGCATTTCATTGCTCATGCGATTTCTTACAAATTCCATTGTTTTCTCGCTCTTCTTTTCTTGATCTTCTCCATCTTCTGCTGCCAGACATTACATTCTTTTAACTCACGTTATATACTACTTATATCAATATAAGTAGCACGCACCACAGTATCACAGTAAACAAGAAATGGGACCTAAACGGTCTTCCTACCGGAAATAAATGAATCAGAAATGAAGGCAAAAAGACTAGGAGGTAAGATTAAATCTGGACCATGAATATCACTTTGTTTTGTAATCGAACTGAAATGATCGACTTAAGCACAGTGATTAGATTCAATATTATTTTGTAAGTAGTGTTTGGGATAACGTACAGAGGTTAGATTGATCAAAGAACGAGTGGGTCGCAAAGGATTAATATTCCGTGTTTGAATGGGATTTCGAGGTACACTAGAAACATTAAACATATGAAATTCGTTCCTGGGAACAATAAAAAACTGCTTGTCTGAATTTTTATCCGCAGATATCCACATATGTGATCTATCGGATTCCTCGATATGCATAATCGAATCCGCATCTAAAGATAACTTGTTAAAAGTAAGAAATATGAATGTACTCAGAAATAAACAGAAGTCTCAGAATTAAAAAAATGTAATTTAAGTGTATAAAAAGAATCGAGGAATATGCTTTAAAAAACCAGATCTATAGATATACGACGGTAAGTCTAATCAAAATAATATTTAGTGTAAACACAGACGTTGAGTCATAGAAAAGATCTCAACGGATTTAATAACGCAGAAAAATAGGGCCTACGATTATTTTGTTCAATTGCAAATACATGAGTGGTATAAATACAGCTATTCGGTAAACAGGGCAGTTTTGTTGCTAATAGCTGGCTTACTACCTTCGTTTAGTCACGTTAGTTCAAATTTGGACGAAATTGATGTAAAGAACATATCAGACGATCATTAAACTAACGACGAACACTTAAAATATAACCTGCAGCTAGTAATTATATAAATACAACTCAGGATAATCTTTTGATGAACGCTGGGAAAAACTCTCAGGAAATTCATGAACTGTTTCAGTCAAGAGGGTCGGAACTACAAGAAAGATACACTTGCATATTTATTATTGATCGCCGACGAACTTCTACTATGTCATCCGGTCGCCATTCTATGCTCATTTAGTTTAGCCTAGTGAGATTGGTTTTTGTTTCGTGAGTGAAAAACGATAGAGGTAGTAACAGGGATGATGTAGAGACGAGGCAGTAGAAGAGTATTATATTATGGGACTTCCAGGTACACTCTTAACAAAGTAATCAGAGATAGGACTAATGTGTCGTCATAAATCGGGGTATGTCGAAGGAGGTAAGATTGAAAAGCCGTGAACTTTGAAAAATAACTTTATTATAACTTCACTTCAGAACAGTCCCCCGAGTGTAATTGGTTGAAAACAGTCACATCTTTATTAAAGATCTTACACATACAATTATTGGATCTGAACATGTAATTAATATACCGTACTATTGAGTAGTTTTAACAAACTCGATATATTTTGAAAGAACGAATTGTAAAATGACAATAGTAAAGTGTTTTACGTATAAATATTTCAATATAACGTACTAACATATCCTAGAGATGACATATTAAAATGTAGAAAGCCTCAATGATAATAATTATGTCTCACAATATCCCTTTGAAGATGAAATCTAAGAAGTAAAAAATAATTACCCATTAGTAGAACATGTTAGTTTTATCTGTACTATTTCTTAATAACTATGTTCACACTATGAACGTTCAATAGGTGTTGCAAACTGAATACACTTGACCTAGGTTCTTAATTAACTAAAGAAAAATAAACTTGAGTCAGGGACAGTAGGTGACGGTTATGTTTCTCGAAAAGACAACATAATTTAGTAAAGACATTGTGAAGGAAGGAAAAACTTATTAGTACTGACATCAGTAGACGAAAATAATCTCTAAACTAAAATACTACGAAGCGATGTATTTTTTATTTTCTGACTAGAAGAGTGAATGACTAATTTACGGATAAGAAGTATGAATCGATGGACGGAAAATAGTGGAGTTCAATAAATAATGTTTGACAATCAACTCGACTGATACTTATAAGACCTAACCAGTCTTTGTTGGGATATGTGCATTCTGTACGGATTTGCTCGACAGTAACAAGTATTATAGAACAGATGGGTTATGGCAAGATTCAAGATACCTATTTTGTCCTACTTGGAACTTGTAATCTGGATGTGACTGCATCCCAATATTGATGGTCACAACGGGACTCAAATCCAGTACATTTCGCTTGATATCAACACCGAAAACCAGATAATTTAAACCTTACCAATAATCTTATTAAAATCATACTCGTTCTACAGATTAGTGGCCATCTGGAAAACGCATTGAGTACTAGTTTCTAGTTCTGGTGTGAACATCATCAGGGGATTTATTTTCGATACTAATAGCCAGAAAAACCAAACATGATCTCAACATTAACCATTTGTACTAGTTGCATTGAAAAACGAATTGATTCAGAGATAAACGGATTTATAGTCTGCTAGGTATGAACGAAAAAGTATGAAATTATTTTAGAATTTGAATTTTTAATGTTGAACGTCGAGAACCCACACATTTTTAGTAGCTGCTTTAATTTCCAAAACGGTATTTTGTCCTGTGTATCCCCGGGTTAATTATGAAATAAAAATATGGACTAAATGCATCATATTGTTGCTTTTTATGGAAATAGTAGTTTTCTTACAAAAGACTAAACTTTTCCTTAATGTGTACGGGTGAGTTAAAAACACAGATTGTTATTGTAGCGTAACAATAAATTATACTGTTTGTAGAGTTAGTTTTCAATGGGAATATAAGGAATAGTTAATCTTAATCTATTTCATTACATGAATAACACTAAACTTAACTACACAGTTAAACTTACTTAAGTTGATTATCAGATAATAAATTATCAAATCCATCTAGAATGTTCGATGTTGCATTGTTTATAAGTGTGGTATTTGAACGTTTCTGTTTTCTAATATGCAAAGTATTTCCAGTTGAATATGTATACTGATCAGTTATTAGTTCGGGAGATTTCATGATTAATTGACTAGTTCCATCGATTGACTGATAACTCGGAGTGATGGAAATAGGACTTGTCGAAAGATTGAATAAAACATTAGATGTATTAATAGCATTAGGAATAGATGTAACAAATGATGTAGTATAATTATCAAACACGGGAGGTAGACTAGATGATTCGCCAGATTTAGACATAATATTTAGTTCTTTGCTTTCATCGGTTACTACTGAAGGAAATAAGGTTTGTCTGTCAGAAAACATTGGAAGTTGATAAAATTCAGTCAACTTTGAATGAACTGAACTATCTGTATACGGATGAGAATTATAGTTATCAGACCAATCAAAAATTGTATGATGGTTGGACAGTGTATTATCACGTAGATTTGTTTGTTCACTAAGACGTTTTTCAGATCCATAATATTTATCACTATTACCATCAGGAAGATTTAGTGGCACTGGTGAAGGTGAACATGATGATATTGGGACGGCTACAGTTGGAGCACTACGTATTGTACGAAAACCACCAACACTATCGATTGGAGCAAGACCAGTCATTGCAGATTCTGATATTATACAAGTGTCTACAGTTGGTTGAAACTGATCAGAAAAAGAAGTGCAAATATGAAATAAAAATGTCTATGTCAATTTTATTTATTTCACTGAATAGAGAGAAAGCAAAAAAAAAATATCGACACGAATAAACAATTCGTATGTTTGAAGTTATTACTGTTACAACTAAGGTAAACCGATTTTTGAAACAGGAGGACATCAAGATTCACGAATATTAAGGGAGTCATTCATTTACAGTAATTACAGATATAATATGGAACTTAGATGAATATCATCAAGACATTTAAAATTCTTACTTTTGATCATACAACTTTGACAAATTTCGATTTTGGTATTTATCTGCATAATTTCATCTCTCTCTGCTGTTATTGTGTGATAACTTGAATCGATACAATTGTGTCAGGTATTATGTTTTTTATGACTAATCACTCATGAAACAAACCTCCGTTTTACGACTTACTGAAGAAACTATTTTTCTCTTTAAAATTAAGTGAAGAATACAGAAACATTATGATACATCTGTTTAAGTAAAATTTAAAAAAAATATGAGAGTAAAATTCAGTCGAACACCGTCATTACTTGGATAACTAGAGGGTAATAGACAGTTTATGAGCAGTATGAACGCTCAGTCTTTATGTTTTGGAATGAGTACGAAAAGATTTAGTCACAGGAATGTTCTAAACTATGATAAAAAACTAGTTTGCGCTCTCTTTTCTGTTTTGCATGATTTTCAAGGCGGTCATATTAGACTGTAATGCAAAGTTGTTTTTGTGAATTAGGCGAAATATCTTAGACAATCTACACACCATACTAATGCTACTAACATAATTATCCAAATATAAAATTGATAATCTGAAAACAAATTTTATTCACATACAGGTAATGAATCGATTGTTGTATTTGGTTTCGGTGGATCATCAGTAAGGAATGGTCGAATACAATCTGGATACGCTATTAATACTTCTAACACTTGATTCATTGATGATGATCTGTGTTGACATTGATGTTTACAACAATGATTAATTAATTCACATATTAAAACAAAAATAATCATAATGCATAGAGTTATAATGCAATTACAGGAAGATTAAAACAAACAAACAAAATCGAAGTAGATAGATATTTGAAGAAAACAAAATACACACAACAGTATGAACAGGAGAATTAGATTAAACAATAAATTATACGGGACAGAGTAGTGGTGATAGAGAATAGCCAATACGATGTAGCGACCAACACAAATTGATATCTTTCGGATATATTCCAATATTCTTTTATAGATTCGGTTTCAACTTTTCGAACTAGATATTTCCAATCGTTATCGATGGTATCGGATTGTTTCGGTGAATTTCGCTGATCAGTATATATATATATAGGCTGCTCGTATGGGTCAACACGTCATACGTGATAATTAACGGCCAAATCGACCTTATATTTAAATTGCTAATAGAGAGTATACACATACATACGATTTAACTATAATAAAAATATGAATATACATACACTACGGTATTTAATGCTTGAGGTGGTAAAAATTCAGTAATACTGAATTCCATACGTTTGACACGTTCCACAACTTCTACATCTCCAAGACCATTATAAGGAAATACACCAAAAGTAATAATTTCATACAATGTTATGCCAAATGACCAAATATCCGATTGTATACTAAAAACACCAAATTGTACAGCTTCAGGTGACATCCAACGAATAGGTAGTTCACCTAAAATGAACAGTACAGTAATAATAATTATTTTTACGCAGTAAAAAATTGAAACATGAAATTTATATAATGAATAGTTCGTACAAAAGGTATCGCAGTATATATTATAAATAAACAAATGGTTATGACTCCATGTTTTGAGAAATGAAGTTAAAACAAAGGTTATGTAAGAAAAGTTGCATTTCTGACCAATAGAGCATAAATATAAAATAAAATTAGACACTTATATTATAGAAACGATAAAAATATTATTAGATATATATTCAGATGTAAATTCTTCAATCAAACTGAGTGATAGCTGTTGAATGACTGAAATGTGATTACTATCTAGAATAGGGATGACAATAGTTGACCTGAACATACAATTTACTAACTTATACAATGAATTTTTAACTAAAGAGTCAGTCAGTTAGTCATAATAAACATAGAGTATGACACAAATATGGGTCAGCACTACAAGATAAAATCAACACGAGGAATAGCAAAACAGTTGAAATAAGCGCAGTTGTTATGATGAAGACTGAACGTCGGAAAATATGGTCAGGTATGCCAAATCCTCAAAATCAAACGTATTCTGGTAAAATTGGTCTTGGAATTCGTTATGAAGTTAACTATCAATTCATTTTGAATTTTTTAAAAGTCATTCAGGTTGAAGCTAGCCAGGTGATTTAAAGACATTTCCATAGTATTTATAAGTTCAGTGTAATTTGTGCAAATTTGACCAATTTCTGCAATTAATAATCTTTTAATTAATCGATATATAGCTGAATAAACTTGGATGTAATTCAGTTCTTCCAGGGTCTCTATCAAGAAAAGCTCCTGTACAAGTTTCGATGTCTTACTTAGCTGACCGGTAGGATTGAACCAGTCTCATTCATCGTATTGGAGTTGTAGTTGTCAATATTTACCGAAGTATACAAATGTATCAACATTACTAGGCGTACAACTCCCCTCTAAATATTAAAAACACTAAGTTCAGTGAACGGATCTATTTTCAACGAAGGTATTATCAAGCTGTACAGTTGTATACTAAATATTCAAATTGGAGTGAGAATAATGAAACAAAACACTGAAACAAAAGATGCATTTTTAGTTAGAAGGAATATTAACACGTACTATATCGAATATAACTTACAATTTCTTGTGAAACGATAATAAACCTCTGAAGTATTTTTAGCAGCTTGTCTGGTCAGACCGAAATCTCCGATTTTCACAGTACGATCCGCAGCAACAAGACAATTTTGACATGCTATATCTCGATGAATTAAATGCTTACTATGTATGTAGGCTAAACCTTGGCCAATATCCATACTCATTTGAGTAAGAGTTGATGGTCGTATGTCTTCATGGTTTGGTGATCTATAAGAAATTCGCAACCAAGAAAGTATAATTCAACATAAATTGGACAAACAAGGACATAGAAATAGTCAGTCGACAAGTTATTTACACACTTATTACGTTATTCAACAAGTTAATAAGATCATGAAGTTAACGTACCACAAATTACCACTGACGAAAAGACAAACTTTTAACCATTTCGGAGAAACAGGTTAGGGATGCTCAAAAATTTAACAAAAAGATTTTCAGCTATATTACTACTATGACTAGTTGGAATATTCGAATCTGAATCAAAGGTATACATTCAAGAGAAAACGGTCGGAAACAATGATACAGAAATAAAGAAAAGTTTCACATCCCTGATGACTTTCAGTAAGAAATTGGTAAAACATGGTTTTAAAGAATAATATGATGCTAACACCTACAGACATTACCAGTAATTTCTAATCAATTATTTTCAAGATTAAGATGAATCTGTGCAGATCACACAAACAATACACAGCTAGGAAAATAGAATAACATATCACCTAGATGGTTCGGAAAAAAGTAACTAAAACCATATGATGAACTGTTTTCAGTAGTCACAGAAAGACTTTCATGACAGATGCAGAAGTAACCAAACGCCAACTTCTTAGACGTTCCAACTTCAACTTCAGACTTACTCTACTTGAATACAAATTCGATGGATACACAAAACGAACCCTTTCAAACCGAGTTTCTACGCATATTATGTGGCTACGTAGATCTGCTAAGAAGTGATCAGATGACCTACCTTGTTCTTATTACATGTCAGTTGTTTATTTAAAGAATAACCTCGATGACATTTGCCATAGCCTTTGTTGTTAGCTGATTGGTTATGAGTACCAATGTTACTGTGTGTTACCGCAAAAGCAAAGTTGTTAGTTTTCAATTTCTAACTTCTGTACAGAATGTAAAGTCATCAATCACTAATGTCGAGTTTGAACAAGATCAATTAACAGATCAGTACTTGAAGAGATAGTGAAATCCAATTACATAATTTCATCAAAGTAATTTTACGTTAATATGGTTTAAAACATTTCACTTCATTTGAATACTTTAATATTAATTTTCACTATGCTAACATTTTTTTATATTATTCATTGTCGTTTCTACATATGTTAATTTACAACTTGGATTTCACTTTTTCCACCTGTAAAGTAATCTTTGATAAATTTATCAGTATATTTGATGATAATGTACGCTCACTTTCCTGTTTCATCATCTTAAAGATAATTTTACAGCATCTTTTAGACTGTATTCTTTAAAGTGTATTGGGCATTGACGATTAAAGAATCTTGATGACAGACAATTATTTTAGTGATAAACTTCAAGTTATTAAAAACGACATAAACATCAATTTGTCTTTTATTTAACTTGATGGGTACTTTATCTTTCTATCGCATCTTAAGACTATGTTGAACGTCAAAATGGAATTCAAATCTTAGTTGAGTAACTAATGATCAGACACCTGAAATAACTTGTCGGATTACGAAAATATACATATAAGGAATAGGTTCATGGTTCACTACTTATTGTCAAGATAATTCACACTAAATACGCTGTTAAATTTATTTGGAACATTTTCTATTACAGATTTTGTCAAGCACAAAACGGTAGTGAATCATAATTTAATACGAAATATAGATCCATGATTTCTAAAAAGATACCATTCTATCGAACATGAGACAACGAAACCAAAAACATGATCGTTTACCTTTGAGCTAAAATTCGACGGGATAATAAATATGTTTTTAAATCTCCTAGAAGCATGAGTTCCATAATCAGGTATAGACTTGCTTTTGGATTCAAGGAGATACCAATTAAACGAACAACGTTTGGATGATTTAAAGAACGCATTAATTTTGCTTCAGAAAGAAAATCAATTTTCCCTTCATAAGTTGCTTTCTCATTAATTACTTTCACAGCAACTGCTTCCCATAAATCTCTTTTTTTAGCTTCACCACCGAATACTAAACCGAAAGTACCTTGACCAACTCAACGATTTAAAACAATATTTTCAGCAGGCATCTATAAAATGGCATTGAAAAATGAAAGACGAAAAGGATGGAATCGCAAACACTGTTATAATTTTGACTACTACTAATGCTACATCAACTCGTACTACGACTGTTTTTCATGATAAATAAAGGGAATATTTATGTGTATGCGACGAAAAGTAGGAAATCATGCGCATAAAAAATAGAAATTGGAAGAATGACTAACCTACAAGAAGGTCTATAACACAAATTGTATATATTTATACAATATATATCAGAATTCGAACATTCAAATAATCAGATGTGGAATATGTTCAACAGACCGTGATGTTTTATACATTTATTTCATATTTATAAGACATTAAACAAACGAACTAGTAATTAATAAAGAATCCCTGAAAAACTATGCGAATCATAACTTGCTGAGAATAAACGACTAATGGCTTGCTCTACATCACTATATATTTCAGAACTAGACTCCCTGTGTTAATTTTGGTGGAGAACAGTTGGCAAGGTCAGCAGGACAGCTGTAAACATTGGTTGATCACTGAATAGTGGGCATTCTCATATTTGTCTACTGTTGATCATATTCTATGGATAATGTGGCACTGTGATCGTTAATCTCGATGGCTTGAGATCTGATGAACGATTTTGTGTAAGGTGGTCGAAAGTGACCAGCAGGGAACTCTGGACCTAAGTTTTGTGATAATTGGCACGCGTCAGCAAGGTAGACCTACGATCTTTGGGGAACCCATTCACCCTGATGGATTTACACTCGGATCATCTAGGTTCAGTATTTCCTGCCGATTACTTTCGGTCAGCGAGGGTTAAAATATAATACACGAAAGGTTGAGTCTATCAAGAAAACAAATACATAACTCAGCTGTTGGTTATAAATTTCATTTAAAGTAGTTAATTTACTGATGTTGCAACTTATACATATGAAGAAGGAATTAATGATTAATTTATATCAACTGCTACCAGTTTGATGTATTCGGATTAATCTATTGACCGGATATTTTACGACTCATCTCAATGTAATTTTTGATGTCTTTTTGATCAGTTATAAATTTGCGGTTGGTGTATAATAAACATGTCATTTGCAGTTTTACTTTTCTTCCTTAAGTTGAGCAATAGCAGTCTTTGCTCTATTATATAGTAAGAAGTAGACAGTTGTGTCTGAAATCATAACAAGTAGCAATACAAGCATTTTGTGAAGTCGAGTCTTTTGGACCAGCAGTTATAATGCAACATTGCCGATAGAGTATGGTCAACACAGGAATGGACACACGTGACGTCGGCTGCTAATCCGTGACCAATCAACGAAGATGCTTTAGTGGCCCGTGATCTGTCTCCAGTTAGATCGGAAAATGATCGTTATTGAATGATTGCTGTCGAACTATACATCCTGACAATTCTCGTAAATAATCATCGACTTAATCCACGTCAGTAAATAACGGAACTAAATAAGTCAAATACGAGGATGGATGTTTGGATATGTATATTTTGTACACTCAATGATCTGGACAGGAAATCAGATGGATGAAGCGAATAGAAAAGAACGAAGCGAAATGACGCGCGGTGGAGGCGTGTGAGTCAACTCCACTTAATCAAGCGTTAATCAATATTTATAATCACACAAAAATAAGTTAAAGACATGTGAGGTATAGGATAAGAAGTGCACACACATACGCCCATATAAAAAAAGTCAAGGTTGATAAGTCAATAATTAGCAAGGTCAAAACGTGACTAAAAACGAATGGATAAACTAGCATGTCCAGAAGCTAGAATAAGGTATGTGGGCTTAACATAGTAACTGACACTACAATGTCATGGTCCTATTGGAAGTCAGGTGTGACTCGAAAAGTAAGACAGTAACCTCTCAAACTGTGGGTATGAGTGACAAGGGTTCAGATCCACCAGGGGAAGTCAGCTTTCAATTGGTTGAAGGTATGCTTTGCTGACGAGTGTCAACTAACATGAAACGCAGGTCCAGGATTTTCTGACAACTACCTCCAAACATCTAACGTCATTGAATGTACTTAAATAGCATTACTTTGACACTAGTTTAATTGTAACCGAAATGAAACTACAAAATAGCCCAAACGGGTAATATTTTATCATTATACTAAAAGAGGAACAATCCGAAATATATCTAGTGTTAGGAAAACAGTTGATAGCAAAAAAAACATAAATCTACAAAAGCCCATAACTTACATCTAAATCAGCCAATTCTGTGCATAGTTCTTCAAAAGGTTTACGAGTTCGATTTTCAATTTCTTTTAATTTACGTCGATAATAAAAATGAGAAATATAATCAGTGGCAATAAAACTAAAACGGTAACAGTGACAAATACAGTAGCACCTGTACAACCCATATGTAATTGATTACTGAGAAATGATAATGTACAATTTTTTTCATTGATAGAACCATCATTTGGTGGACCACCTAATGTATGCCAATTAATGTGGTCTAACCAACGTTCAGTCATCCGTTTCTGAAATTCATCGTATAGAAATGGAGCATTGGTTGTTTTCCAATCATACTTGTTTGACATATTATTTGATGAAATCATATGATTGTTGTTGTTGATCTTGCTCATGTACTTCTTCATAGTTTTTTGTTGACCACATTATAATCGGTACAGTAGTATTTAAATGTCTTTGTTTCAACAGCCAATAATCAGCAATACGTTCATTATGATCATTAAATCGCAAATTTGATGCTGAAGCAGGACTTTGACTGCGTATACCATAATAGTCACCAGTAAGTTGAAATCCAGCATCTACACCAAAATTATCATCATTGATACCTGGAACAAGTTCATTTATTTCACTAGATTGTCCAGTTGTTGAATTATCTGTCTGAAATCGATAACCAAAATTTGTTCGTGCAACAAGTGTTCGAAGAGTTTCAGATACATCAGGATGATTAAGAGCAGATGCTGCAGCAGGATTTTCTCGTAAAAGATGAACAACAGCACTTGCTAGTAGGATAACAGCATCATAAGTATACACAGTGTAATCATGAAGAGGATCTTTGATTAATTTACGTTTTGAGTGATCACTGAATGTAGATTTCCCAAAATCATTTGGATTGGGATTATGTTTAGTTCTTGATAAGACAGGTGGTACTTCTAACGTTTGTGACTGAACAAAAACATGGCGTCTGCGTCGTATTTGTTCAGATGAAGTTCGATTCGGAGTACCACTTGAATTATTTCCAGACTTAGAGTCTGAATCCATAAACTCACTAGTACGAGGAATAAAACTGTGCACCATAGGACCAATTAACAACTGGTGTCCAACAGTAAAAGTCCACGAAGTAATATTGAGCATTTCACTAAAATTACACTCAGTATTTCGGCCAACCAATTCCATCCACCATTGATCAGAGAGCCATGGATTCAAAAACCAAACGTACCCAGCGGAAAAATACATCCCTTCATGATATGCTGCACAGAGTATCAAATAAGTAGCACGTGCATCGTACTCGACAACAAATATGCGACTGTTCTGTTGCTTTAATTCTTCTAAAGTCTGTAAGATGAACAAATCATAAGAATGACTCGATAAAACGCACGAAGAAAGAAAAGAGGTAGCAGATAAAATTCCAGAAAGTGGTTTTCGCCATGCAAGTATTATCAAATTCAATACATACATGAGGATGTGTACAAATTAATGCGACTTGTACTAGTTAGAAAGTATAGTAATCACAATATGGAAGTCAAATACACTTCAAGTAACTTGTAACTGTACTAATATTAGTCCAACAAAATGTAGTCCTTTCACTGAAACGCGTATTTCACATGGAGGTTTATGTACTCAGCTTGGAGCTACACAGAGTGATGGCTTAATAGTTAAGGAGTTTTAGTTTTAGTCACTAAGTCCCATATTATAATTCTGCTCCCCCTACTTCAGTTAAGGTAATTGAGTAGCACCATTAGCTCTTATATGGCTCACACCCAAGTACCTATTAGATAAGTTAAAACTATACGCAGAACGACGTACAGAAAATTCATACTTACATCTTTTGCCAGTTTATAAGTTAACTGTTGTTCATCCATTTCAATATTGGCAATAATTTCGATTCCCTTTGCTTGAAATAATAAAGGTTCAAAAAAATGATCCGATTTACGAAATACAACTATTCGATGCCAACCCCATACTAGAAATAATCGAAGTAGTATAAAACTGAAAAATAAAGAAACAAACAAAAAAAGTGACAAGAAACATTCTTATTTAAGAAAGTATTATTGAGTGCTAAATTTAAGTCGAAGTTTTTTTCATTTAGAAGCTTAAGTTTAATGGTTGAATTTTAAGAGATGTACACATGAGTTCATTTCATATCACAGAAGATTTAGCACTTCATGATTTAAAACTTCAGTTGTATATACCAAACTAATTTATTAAATCATTCTGTTTACGATGATCGGAATAATCAACTTTCACTTTTACATAAAAAAATATTTCTATTTATCTGTAATTCATCATTATTGACATTATAATGCAGGGTTTTTCCTACTCAGAATTTTTTATTAGTATCTACACATCTCTTTCATCTCGGTTTAACAACAATCATAATTATTCGACGCTTGTCCTGATAATTAAATATTTCATACTATACATAAATCCCGATTTTAAATGACATGGTTCAAAATTGTTTGCAATGGCGCAGGTGCATCCGCTCTTTGTGTTCTCCCAAATTCTAATCTTCTCAATAATGCATGTCTCGTTTTTTTCTCTTCCCAAATTTATTTCACTGGATTATACTCCTCGAATAACATCCTCAAACCCTAATCTTTCCGCTTACTGCTTGTACTTTAACTACCACTATGGAATTCGAATCGACAATTGTATCTCTGTGCTAATGTGGTATGGCAACTCGAATTGATGTACCTACGTACGAAGTCTAAGTTGTTGCTGACTGACTCTCCTTAGCACTTAATTCATCACTTATTTGAAATTATGTGGGGAGATATTAAATTCCATTACAACTCATCAAATCCTAACAAGTATTATCCAGTGACCTACAATTTATCATTTATAATTGTACAGTTTTGCAGAATGCACTTGTTGAAAAGGAAACCTACATTAACTTCATTATTTTAAAATAGATTGATAGAATTTCGAATAATTAATCTAAGAGTAAAACAGGAGATTCATATTGTGCCAACATAGAGATTGGACATTCAAAGCAGCTGTAACAACTATACTTACAAGTTTAAAAGGGGTTAGTGATGAACGACCTGAAACAAAAAGGACACTGGCACTTTATTAATTGAGAAATTCTTGCCAGTATTCCAAACAGTAATCTCAATTATAAATTACTGACAACAAAAGTGTTTCATTACAAATTATTAATTAATATTTTAACTAAATGTATATGAAAATTAGACTTTTTATTAGAAATCACACTTGAATATAATTGACTTTGAAGTCAGAAGACAAAATTCATTTCGTTAGTTTGACAGTCATAAATCATTAAGTCATGTATTGTTATACATGACTTTTAAGCACAGAAATAATATTTGAATAAATATTTAGAATTTAAGCTTTATATAAACTTAAAACAATTAGTCCCATTCAGAGGTGATTCAAATAGCCTTTTACTGAAACAACGACTTAAATCAGTCATCAATAAAACCTATTGCGCAGCAAAGGTCATCATCAAAGAAAGAACAAGGTGCATGCTTCATTCAAAACCTAAAGTACATGGAAACGATTGCGTCACATCCCACAGTGTTTACCAATTTAAATGTGTGTGTGGTCACACATACATAGGGAAGAGTAATCGTGATCTCAACATTAGGGTGAGTGAACATGTACCTAAATGGCTTCAGGAACAAATACAATCAAGTGACCCGATAAGAGCAGAGGATAAACATCCAGCATCCTCTATTGCTAAACATATAATTGAAACAGGTCACAAGATTGATCTAAATTCAGCTTTTGTAGTGCTGTATAAAAGTGTAAAAGGGCGTATACTAAGGTTCATTGGAGCCTTAGCCATACGAAAATTCAAATCCCCTTTATGTGTTCAAAAACAGTTTGTTCTTACCTTAAACCTACCCTGGTAATATTGACTTATTATCCAGAGTGATTAGGTTTCAAATTGTGTTCACATTATTATTATTAATCTTATCATTATCCTTATCTCCTCTTACCCCGTTTCCTGTCTAGTTGACCTTTTATTTTTATATATTGTTAAGTTTGTTTTACATTGTTTATACATGTTCCTTTTCTACTCTTTGTATGTTGTTTTATACTACTTATTTACATTCAGTAGGCAGCTGTATGCCAAACAATTTTCACACTTATGTTGTAACTCAAGTTGTACTGTAACATTCTGGAATGTTCACCTATATCTTTAACGTTTATTTTACTTATAATTGTATTTATCATTATAATCACTGTAACTTAATTACTGTAACGATTATCCACAGTTTTGTGCATTTGTTTGAATGCAACAGTTTCCATATTGTTTGCTCTTGGTTCGAGTTTCGGTTGTTCATAAACTGTTACCAAATTTAGACACAGCTATCAACTGTCTTTGGACTATCGTATGTTGTAATCATTCTTTATGTTACTCTTACAGGAAGCCTTTGCTATTCTCATTCTTGAACGACGCGTCTAAACGCCTAGACACCTCACAAGTTGAGGTTTGTAACTAAATTTTGTGTATTATTTAATAAAGAACCGCCTTTGTAGACAAATCGTTGTTTTGGAACTTCGATTTTGCGCGTATCTCAATCGACGCTTCGATAGAATTAACATATATAAATGCTCTTAACAAGTATATGTGTGACCAGATTGTTCGAAATGTATTGCGCTAATATATCACATAGTTCTGATAGTCTTCGTCTTCTAATATCATTATCGAACTTTATATAAACGTTATGATCACTTACTTAGCCAAAGTAATGATATGGTTGCTTTTCCAGAAAATGTGCACTACCTACTGTTGGACTGACAATAATCTGTTTGCGAATATTTGCCAATTCAACCACAGCTTCTACAAAATCTGAGCATAGAGCAGCTAATAAAAAAAGTGGATAGATCATACATTATAATAAAACATAAAATAATGTTGATAAAATTCGGAATACAAAGAAGAACGTCAAACAGGGAATGGGACTGGTTGTCTAGCAGATGAGAGTTTATATAATTGCTGTGAAAGAGATGGGATCGATCACTAGTAAAGTGCTCTTGGTGACAGGAAGAAGGAAAAGAACTGTTGAAATAAAGGAGAATAAACTGATAGTATCGATGATAATGACTTGTTTCATAAAGTACATCTACCATTTCTTGATATAGGGAAAAAACAATATTACACTACATAAACAGACTGTGAAGTGTAACCACCAAGTAGTGAGTCTACACATATGCATCGTATCATACTAAATTTGATCTCTTTTCAGGAAAAGAAATAACCGTTACATGCTTTACGCTGAGAAGTTTACGTGCAATTATTCAACTAATCTATTTTTTAAAGAAGACCACTAATTTAAAAAGGAAATAATCTATTCCTATAATCCTTTTATGAAATAAGCTGCAAAAGATCGGGTGCTGTCTGCTTGCTTAAACCCTAATATTAACGACAATACAACTATAAACATTTACAGAAGAAATTAGTTTGATGTGAAGGTTGAAGGCACCACGTCCCATTTCTGCTGGAGTTATAGTTAGACTGATAACGTTTGGAGTTTGAACTGTAAGGTTTTACAGACAAACAAGGAATATAAGCTTTGCAGTTACATATCTACTCAACAGTGAATATGAACTGATTTATATCACATCTTACTCATCGCTTTAGTAAAATCTACGATGACAAATTTAAAAAACCAGTACAGTTAACATTTTATTTAGGAAAATCAAAAGTAACTTTTAAAATATCGTAAAACGTTTATCAAATCCTACCGATGGAACCAATAAGACGAGTGTCGACAGCATTCTCCAACACTTTAAAATAATCGCTTAACACGACGTCAGGTTCACATGTTAAATTACGTACATCCATACTTAATGCATATTCAGAATTGCGAAAATAATCTGAGTCGGCGTTGACAAAATTCATAGCTTCTTGAGCCACTAGATAGTTATGAAGCGAAATTAAAGTTTAAAAAAAAATCAACTAAGTTCATTGGGAGAGAATACAGATATAAGCAGAATGAAACAACGAAACACCAAATACTATTAAACGAATGTTATATAGCGACAATCTTCAAGAGTAACGAAAAAAAACTCTACATTCCTCTAAAATTCGAAACAGCCTCGTTTGGTATCACAGTAAGAAAATATAGTCGAGACATTCTAGTTATTCATAAAATTACTGACAAACGGTATCATGAAGAGAATCTAAACCTTTAAACAACCTATAAGTATTTAAAACATATGGTCATATTTTAAGAAACTCTGTATGACAATATTTATGCAACAGAATAATTTATACTTATGAAAAGAACTGACCTCGATCAAGACCATACAGAACCCATTTCCCATACATACTGAACAGGCCAGCTACTGTTAAGTTAAGTTTTTTGTCCCAATCAACTGTCCAACTTTTCCATTTAGTTGGATTCTGACGGAGCCACCGACATGCAACTTGTTTATATGTTGACTGACGATCTATATGTGAGTCGAGTAGCGCCTAAAATAACAAAAGTTGAGAATAATAGTCACAGTCAATAATTGTGCATTTAAAAGTTGGAAGCTTTATTTTATACACACATAAAAATACCAATCAAATGCTTGTTTTACCCATGTCATATAAATAAGAATTTTATTTCAAAAATATACTGCTCCGTAGATGGCAGTAACATTAGTAGCTACTACCATTCCATACTTTCTTTTGATGAAAATATGAGTAGAATATACAACTCATAAATGGAGCCGATTTAGATAATGAATGATGTTGAACAATATATGAACCTCATCTTTGATTTAACAGATGATCACAATCAGTGGGTGTAGATCAGCAATAACTTGGCTTAAAATAATTTTTTTTTAAGATAAACATTTACTAAATCTCACGGCTGTTAAAGCTGAAAATCAAATAGCCTGAAATCCGCCTTTTATTTTATGCAATTTCGCAAGCATCTAACTTCAGAGACCCGAAAAAGACAAGCTTGAGATGTAAAACTTGTAAAATTCAAGTGAACACAATAATAGAAACAAATTATTACGTGAATACATATTCACGAACCATTTTTAACAAGGAGTTTGAAAAAAATTAAGGAAATGTTTTTATTAATACGAATAAGAGAAACCATTTTTTATCAAGTCGAGTGGATGAAATAAATACCGTCTAGAAAAGGGCATACAGATAGATCATAACAAACTCTCAGTGAAATCATTTATCATTAATTTGATAGTGATATGACGGAGTAGAATGATACAATAAAAAACAATATAGATTGACAGCCAAAATATGATTAATTCCGAAGAAATCTTACATTAACTTTACGAATAATATCAGTGAACACGACCTAGTGATAATGATTGTGAAAAGTACTTAATGAAAAAGGGAAATTTTTTTACCTGATCACAAATTATGAAAGGGAAATAATGATGAGACTTACGTGTTAACTTTAAGAAATAAATTGCTCAGTAGGATTATTCGAATTACGTGACAGGATGGATTAAATCAGTGATATTACATAGTTATGACAAAAGGTGACAACTCGATGAGTTATTCATTATTTATTTGAACACATAAATATTGGTACAAAGGGGCACCGAAAACATAAGCACCACACAAGTCACTTGATTTGTGTGTGAAGTGCGATACTGCCCGGGTCCCCAGACCGAAGCAGGTGCTTTTTTAGGGGCCCATACCCAGAGCCTTCGACCTAAAGGTCTGATCCACAGGGCAATCGGGCAACGTTAAGAGATGTAGTCACATGGTAACCGGTGACCAGTATTTGGTTCATAAGCCATTTGTTCCTTCAGGATCCCAGAGCTCATATGCACTATTGGTTTGGAATCAGGGTTTTCCAACTCCCCTAGGTGGATCCTTCATATCCAAAAACACGGTTAAAGTGCCAGACGTTCGCTCTTCGTCCTCTCAATGTCACAAACAACACCCTAGCCACGAGAAGGCAGTGAGTAGGACTTCCGTGGCAGTATCTGTATACGCGTGGCAATATGAGAGCTGACTCTCCTCACCCTCGGTCGTACCAGGGCATTTAGGGGTCCCAATGGTAATCAAACTGACAGGCAGAGCGCTTCAGTGAGTATTATTTCATTGTTGTAAGTCATATATATATTCATTTCCTTTTTACTAACTTTTGAAGTGAAGAAACACCCCTAATACTTTGAAGTGTTGATATCTATTCTAGATAATTCTCACTATAGAGAAAACAGTTGATGCCTTGAAACTATTCAAGCTAAATAACTGGTTGGTAAATGAGCAATATTTATGGAAGTTTGTTGTAAAAATGTTTCAATCACTAAGTCTAATTGCTTATTTCTTCAGTATTATGGTTGTTGTATTATGTATTCAATAGGAGAAAGGTTGTTTAATTGTTTTTCTGAATCGACGGTAAATCTTTTTTGTGGTACACGAATGATATTGGATTTCTTTGCTGCCCAGAATATTTGATTTGGTCGTTTTAAAAATTTCTTACCAACCTTTGTAATTTTTGATTAAATTCTTTACCGATATCGATTACGTTATAAACATACAGAGTAAATTAACCTTTCGATGAATATTTATTTTGTCTACTTAACTGAAATACCTATGCATCATTCAGATAAATTTTGACATAAGGTTAGGTTAATTTTAGTTTTTAAAGAGTCAATGAAGAAGAAATAAGACCTACTTACTTATACCATTCGTTAATGTTTTTGGATTGCTCACTGTTACTCTAAATAATTAATACAAACATAACTTGATGGTTAGTAGTCGACTAATTTGACCATCCAGTCACAACCACACTAACCCTTATAAAGGAAGTCAATCAATTAAGTTTTCAACGGTCAAATTATTTAAAGCACTCACATTTCATGCAATCTCAAGAAGTTTACTTTCCAAGAAAATGGAATCATATATAAAGTACTATAACACAACTATTAAAATAAATGACAAGGACTATATAATTATTGTATCTTTATGATCTTCCAACATCCTTGGCAACTGCCCCTTGAGATTTTGTCCATGTAGCAAAATAATTCTTATGTATGAGAAATTATGAAACACAGTATTGGTGATTATGGAACTTCCCCTTTAATCAATGGAAAGGATTATCGTAACCAATGTTTAGAGACTTCGAGTGACATGGCTCAAAGTTGTTTGCAATGACGCAGATGCATCCATTCTTTGTCTTCCCTAAAATCCTGAGGTTCTAAATTCCTCAAAACGTTTTTTTGTTTTTATTTCACTTACATTTTCGTTTCGAGTCGTATCTTCGATGCCTAACCTTTTCTATTATCGCTGATACGGTTACTACATCTACTATTCTGGGATTTGGCCTGACAACTTTATCTCTCTGTGCTTATGAGATATGGCAACTTGAGCCGATGTACATATGTACAGGTTCTATGTTGCGACTGACTGGCTGACTCAATGGGAAACAATCTGAATATCATTCGAAATGCTATGACCACTTCCATACTTCAAAGAATCCTAGAAATGGGTAAGAACACTTTTTAGTATTAGAAAGATGATCATTAAAAATATCACGTATAATTGCTGCTACCGCTTTTGCTAACGTTTACTTTAACAGTAAATTAATGATAAAATCATTCATGTTTTAACTTTTGTTATCTATTTGAATATTTCGATTTGTCATTAATTAGTCAACTGAAAATTTCATTGAGAATGCCTCAAATTTTGACAATTTTAAAGTGACAAAATAAAACCGATAATAACAACAGTAACACTAGTTTTCAGAAAGTGATAACTGGGTAGTCGTTTAGGAATGATAATTATTCAGTGTATCTAAACCAAATGTGTTATTCAACCTATCTCTAGATTACTGTAGAAAAATATAGGAATGTACATTGCTGTCGATGGAGAAAACAAGTTTTTGAGGAAAAATCATATTTGGTACCGACTGATGTTAATTTGTGCTTCAACTAATTTGAAATAATAGAACTATATGTACACACTGAATAACAAAGCACGAATGTAAAGGTTTGATAATTCGCAATTGATCTCGCTTACAATAATATTTAAAATCAACATTGAGAAATGATTGATATTAATAAGCCGTAAACACCAGATACTGTAAAAACCAATATATATACGTCAACCAGTAAGAAACTATTTGGTATATATATATATATATATAATTGTATAATAACATACCGAGTGCACCAATTCTCCCAACTCATCATGAGACATATACATTTTAGATGCAAGTTGAAAAATTTGTGGAGCTGCCGTCCGTAATTTAGCCCATGTCACTTTAACAGCTTGATAAGATTCAGTGTGGCAATATTGATAACTATTAGGTGAGGTAGATTTTGTATCAGTACTGCATAAAGGGGGTGGAGGAATACTATAAGAATTATACCGTAAACATGTTGAATTTAATTCAAAATCCAAAATAGTTACTGACTTCCCAGAGAGTAAAGTATGATTATTGAATAAATCTGAACCATGTGCATTTTCCGTTCGATGACCTGAGTAGTCTGGTAAAAGGAAAATAAGACTTTTTAAAGAGACGAACTTTTCGCTGACTGACAAAATTCAAATAAATATTAACTCGCGATCGGAAAAAAATTATATATGTAGTCAGTCATCTTATGTAATATAATACGATTAATTTTACAGAATCTGAAAGATAAGATAACCAAATCGGTAATCTATGCTAGGACACATACCCATATCACATGTCTTGAGAGCTAATTATCAAGTTCTTAAGTGTTCATAAGTAGTGATTATTAGTTTGAAAAACTTCTGTCGAAAAGTCACTTTTTCTAGTATAATAATGAAAAATTCATATGAGCAACTTAATCAAATATCGACATCTGTTTGGTTTACTAGATCTGCATTTCAGATTAAGAGGGATTGTGAAGTAACTACTGAACTTATGTGAAACTGTTTACATATTGCTCTGTGTTTTAGTGACATGAACCAGGACAAGTTAAGAACTTTCGACGAAGGTCTATTCAAACAACTCTTCTTGTCTAAACTTCCCCAACAGGTGCGAGCAGTTCTGGTCTCGTTCCAGAACAACGCCTTAGACGAGCTAGCTGCATCTGCCGACCGCATTCTGGAAATTACGAAACCTACTACCGAGGTATTTTCAGTCAAAGAAAAGCCTCACACGACTCAGAATGATATAACCGACTTATGTCACACACTCACGCGTTATCTTAGTCTTCGTACCGACCGTAAGAGATCGCGCACATCACGTAGAAGCATTTCTCGTAAGCGATCTGTCTCTAGACCACGAGAGACAGATAACCCCGATTGGTGCTGGTATCATAACCAGTATGGAAAGCTTTCCAGAAATTGCAGAAAACCCTACAATTTTCCCAACACGAAACCGACTGATTCGAAAAGCAATTCGGGAAACTTCCAAGCCGGCACGCGTTAACGGCAACCGTAGCCGGCGAACAAAGCCGTCTGTTATTCGTCACAGATGTGACAACGAGAGTTCGCTACCTCGTCGACACTGGCGCAGAAGTTAGCGTTCTCCCAGCGAATCCTAACGACCGACTTCACGAATCGACCCTAAACTTACAGGCGGCAAACGGAAAACCGATCGCTACGTATGGCAAAAGGTACGTTTACCTTAACGTGGGTTTACGCAAACCCATCCACTGGATTTTCGTTGTTGCAGATGTTTCTATGCCAATCATTGGAATGGACCTTCTACAACACCACAATCTGATCATCGACACGCGCAAACGGAGGCTAGTAGACGGAAACACTAATTTGTCCGTTTGCGTAACTTCTTTTACTGGTTGTAGAGTATCCCCAGTCACAGTTAAACATATGATAGACCCACTCTATCAACCACTACTCGATAAGTACCCTGGGATACAACAAACTCAACCGAAACTACCGTGTGTAACCAGCAACGTTACACATCACATCACGACTACAGGACCACCTGTATTCTCTAAAGCACGACGACTAGCTCCTGAAAAGCTAAGGTTAGCGAAAAACGAATTCGATCACATGATGGATTTAGGAATCATACGACCGTCAAGTAGCCCATATGCATCTCCGTTGCACATGGTCCCTAAAAAGGACACCAACGATTGGCGTCCAACTGGTGACTATAGGCGATTGAACGCGAAAACCATTCCCGATCGTTACCCGTTGCCTCACATTCACGATTTGACAGCTACCTTGAAAGGTACAACTGTCTTTTCGAAAATGGACTTGGTTAAAGCGTATAACCAAATCCCTATGGCTACTGACGACATACCGAAAACAGCTATCATAACTCCCTTCGGACTCTATGAATTTTTGCGAATGCCTTTCGGTCTAAGGAATGCTGCTCAAACATTTCAAAGATTTATAGACGACGTTTTTCGCGGTCTCAACTTCGTACACGCGTATGTTGATGACTGTCTAATCGCAAGACCGGACAGAGAATCACATCTCAAGCATTTGGATCTTGTTTTCGAACGACTACAAAAACATGGCATTACTGTAAACGTTCAGAAATGCCAATTCGGAACCGACTCATTAGACTTTCTGGGACACACTATCGATGCTCAAGGTATCCGACCCCTTAGAACTAAAGTGGCGGCCATTCTGGATTACCCAGAACCGACTACCGTCAAGCAATTACGCACGTTTAACGGTCTCGTAAGTTTCTATAGACGTTTCATACCGAAATGCGCATTACTTATGAAACCTCTGACCGACCAACTTCGTGGAAATGCGAAATCCATTAATTTGGACGACACCGCACGAAAAGCATTCTCCACAATTAAGGAACTGATTGCTAAAGCAACAATGCTCGCACATCAGGACACCGAAGCATCCATTAGTATCGCAGTAGACGCATCCGACTCGGCAATCGGAGGAGTCTTACAACAATGGGTTAACAACTCCTGGCAACCCTTGGCATTTTTCTCTAGACGGTTGCTAGACACCGAATCGAGGTACAACACATTCGGTAGGGAACTCCTAGCTATGTATTGTGCTGTACGGCATTTCCAACACTACATCGAAGGTCGTGAATTCACTCTTTTCACGGACCATAAACCGCTCACTTTCTCGTTAAGCTCTCCTTCTGACAAGTACTCTCCCCGTGAGTCTCGACAACTGGACTACATTTCGCAGTTTACTTCAGACATTCAACACATCTCTGGAGCAAACAATGTAGTTGCAGACGCCTTATCTCGCATAACTTCCTTGTACAGTTTCCAAGGAATCGACCTTCTTAAACTCGCCGAGCTTCAAAAAGAAGACACTGATCTTCAGCACGAGTTATCGTCCACAACACTTAAACTACGCATCAAACGGATGGGAACAGGTAAGGAAACCTTACTTTGTGACACATCTACGGGTAGGGATCGCCCAATCGTGCCGAAACATTATTGACACAATGTCTTCAACACACTGCACAAACTTTCGCATCCAGGTGTTCGTGCAACCATCAAGCTTATAGCAGAACGGTTTTGCTGGCCTGGAATGAATAAAGACGTGAGGGAGTGGGCACGCTCCTGTGTAAGCTGCCAAAAATCTAAGGTCATCAGACACAATAAATGTCCCTTAGGCTCGATATAGTACACACGTTTTCGTTCGTCGAGACTCGCATCGACGACCATTCGAATCAGCATACGAAGGACCCTTCAAAGTTCTTCAACGTGAATCTAAGTACTATATAGTCGATAAGAACGGAACCAACGATAGCATCAGCATCGATCGCTTAAAAGCAGCGTATTTAGAAGGAAATCCTATTCACGTCGACTTTCCTTCGGTACAATCGCACAACGCGACTCCTACACTCATAATCCCTCAACCGACAACCAACACTAGCGATGATACTCCGAATGTATCTGAAAATAAACCTAAAACGACGCGTTCTGGAAGAAGAGTAAGATTTCCAGAACATTTAAACGACTACTGCACGTAAGGCACTACTCGACATTTTATATTATCCCGATCTTTCTTATTAACGATATATAATGTTTTTTTAAAAAGACAATTTTATTATGCCTATATATTTATATTTTTATTAAAAAAACAAAACAAAACATAAAAAACATTTTTTTAACGCTATTACGTGTGGTTGAGTATATTTTCAATTTTTTCGCCGACATTGTGTTTTTACGCACACACGAGTGTATTTCGACATGCACTTACACTTTCTTTTTCCTTTTCCAGGACGGCTGGAAAAGAACGATGCGGTTTACGAGGAGTCGAAATTTTCGTTGTAACTCTTTCTTTTTTTATTATGTTGTACCTCGGTCCCATATAGTAAGGAAAGACGACCAGACGCTGCTACACATAGTAAGCTATCAGAAGAGTGTTTACCAACGACAAACTCGTTGGGTTTAAACTTCTGGCTGGCCACGTCTTAGGGTCGTCACTACCTCACTAGGGGGGGAGTGATCTGTAGCGGTAAATAAATCCCCAAAATAAATAGCCCTATGTTTTCGACATTGGATGCTGACCATATGTTTTAGTGGACTCATCTGGCTGAAGGCGCTCGGTCATGCATCCGCACCAGATCACGTGTGGTTACGCCGTGCTCAACATCAACCGCAATCGCTAGCCAGATTAGATCAGAGAATTCCGATATATTGGTCATCGCCAAATATACTCTTCCGATCTCCTCGACTCTGTCTTTTGATTTCTCTGGGCGGGAACGAAATATATTAGAAGGTGTTACTGGTAGAAGCGTTGTCAAACACTGAATACCTGTGACATCATCAATGGCAACAGACTTCAAGACTTGACAGTTGATTAAGAGTAGTAGTATTCTTGCGGTACACGTGCTATATTGAATCTAAAGCTTTCTCAAACTAGGTACGTGTAACAACAGTTGGTCATTGCAATACTGTAAAGAAGTAACTTGTCCTATAGATATCTACAATATACACGTGTGTATTTCAGCCGTTCACCACTTGATTGAAGAAGTCACGTCAAGAATCAGGTAGTTGTCTCCTGATCTACGTGCCTTCTTTGAGTTGGTCCAATACAACTGATAAAGTCAGCGTCAATCTCTAAGTCTCACAAAGCTTTTTATGTGAATGATTTACCGCTTCGCTTTTAAAAGTTCTGTTAATTTCGTGGAAGCTGAGTCATTCAAACTACCTTGGATTCGCTTGTGCCCTACTTGGTCTCGAATTGTTTAAGCTTAAATTTTTACCTAGATATCCAAAAAACAAACTGATTTTTTGCCTGTGTGAAGTTATTACGTATACACCTTTTGCCTATTTCGAATCCACCGCTGTTGATTTCACAGGCCCTCTTTCTTCCCCTAGCTTCCTTAGGTGTATTAAATGTAGGTTTTGACGAGCCTCTCATCATTTCACAGTATTTGGTTCAGAGAGGTAGAAGAACTTATATCATTAACCGTTGAGAAGTATTATGAAGTGTGAACGGTTGGAGTTAGATCAAAATCTATGTTCTTTCCTCAAAAACATCTACCCTGACTTTTAGTCCTGCGTATAAAACGTAGACTGAGTATAATTCAAATACTATCACAGTTAGATGCCCAGAAAACGTCCTCTAGGTTATTTTTGAATATATTAAGGCGTGGTGTCCTGTATCCAATACATATAAATTCTCTTTCTTTACAAAACCGCTCCCACAGAAGTGTAAATGCAAATAGTGAGAGAGAAAGATTATTGGTCGGCCGAAACAAGAAGTAACCATACGAAGGTCCTTATATACGTTTGTCCTTTAACAAC